AGTATAAAAATACTGAATCAACTATAATGTACAACTGAATCTCATATGATATTGGAGGTCAATTCTGCTCCAATAAAAAAATGTGCAGTATACTATATGCCAATTATATTTCAATAATGCTGTTAACAGGATTGAAACACAAATTGGTGAAAATTTGAGCACCACAACTACTTCAGCTCAGATCATGATCTCACAGTGCATGAGTTCAAGTTCCACATTGGAGGGGCACTGACATCACAAAGCCTGCTTCAGAGTCTCTGTCTCCCTTTCTCTCTGCTCCTCCCCCACTTGCACTCTCTCTCTCTCTCTCAAAAATAAACATTTAAAAAATTAATAAAATAAAAAACAATAAAAAGGAGAAAGAGAGAAAGAAACTGGAGAGAGAAGCCTCTCATTTGGAGAAGAATGCCAGATAAAAAATACAAAGTAAGTGTGGTAATCAGAAAAACAATCAGGGGCGCCTGGGTGGCTCAGTCGGTTAAATGCCCGACTTCGGCTCAGGTCATGATCTCACAGTTCGTGGGTTTGAGCCCCGCATCGGGCTCTGTGCTGACAGCTCAGAGCCTGGAGCCTGCTTCGGATTCTGTGTCTCCCTCTCTGTCTGCCCCTCCCCCGCTCATTCTCTGTCTCTCTCTGTCTCAAAAATAAATAAAAACATTAAAAAAAATAAGAAAAAAAAAGAAAAATGATCATTTGCAACCATATCATAATTTAATCAGGCAAAAATCAGTAATTGATTCTAAAACATGGTTTATACTCTTTCATACATTTTATATATTTCGTATTTTATTAAAGCTATTAGCATTCTTAGTCTTATAATTTTAAGCTTGCTGATATTTCCCACCCCAATTCAACCTGGTGAACTCTTGTAATGCACAGCAGTTCTGATAAAAGTATGGTGAACTACAAAGACATGGTCGCATTCTCTAGGGAAGACCTTGATACAAATGAAAAATTCTGGCAATTGTATAGAGGTTATTCAGAAGTCGTGATCTAGTCTGGAAAATAGCTTAGGTCTCTATTTCAAGTCATTTTCACAAACAACAGAGATGCATATTCCCAAGAATCAACAATGAAAGATGCTTTTTTACAATGTTTTCCAAGATTTTGTGATAATGACAAGAATGCATATAAAAAGTTCCTCAATTTCTATACATTTTAAGAGGTGAGACAGAAGCAAAGAATCTTGGTTATATGTTTATCTTCCATTGTTCTTGCTATCTGTGAGAGCTGGTATTTCTCTTTACTATAGAAATAAAAATAAAATAGAAAAAATATCTCAAATGTTACTGATATGTTTTTAGCAAAAAAAAAAAGCATGCAATTTGAACATTTCACCTCTAGCAATTTCAGTATCATTTTATTTCAATTAGCCAGGGAACTACTGCTTTATATAGCTGCAGGTGTAAAAAGAAGTAAAATTCCTCCAGTGATTAAGGTTGCTGTCAGTATCCTAATAGGATTTTTAAATATGCATCTTCTGCTCCTCTCGACTTCCTCCTTCCTTTTAAGCATCAAAATACCTGGGGAAATTAAGTTAATTATGAACTGTTCTGTTATATTTATAATACATCCTTAGTCACAAAAATAATAATAAAGCTTTACACTACTATAAAGTCCTATTAGTCATTCTTAAAAGGCTGACATAATCAGAGAAGCAAAACCGCAAAAAAACGAAGATCATATTACATATTTCTGAATTTGAAAGTAGTGTGATAACTCTTAAGGAAATGAAGTAGACTTTAGTGATTTTTAAAAAAAACTATAAAAAAGGAGAAAAATTATGTTCTCTTTTCTTTATTTTTTTTACCTTTACTAAGAAGTTATTTCTCGGGCGCCTGGGTGGCGCAGTCGGTTAAACGTCCGACTTCAGCCAGGTCACGATCTCACGGTCCGTGAGTTCGAGCCCCGCGTCGGGCTCTGGGCTGATGGCTCAGAGCCTGGAGCCTGTTTCCGATTCTGTGTCTCCTTCTCTCTCTGCCCCTCCCCCGTTCATGCTCTGTCTCTCTCTGTCCCAAAAATAAATAAACGTTGAAAAAAAAAAAAAAAGAAATTATTTTTCAGTTCCTGCTTCCTACACCCAAGGCAACTGAAAACTTCTTCCCACTTTAATCTGGGAAAATTATTTATTCAGTGGTATAGTATCTTGTTTCCACCTCAAATGGTCTAACACCAATTGGGTGTACTGCAATTCATTTATGACACCAAGTTAGCATCAGACTTCACAGTTTAAGTTTTTCCACAAGACTGCTCTCACTTCAGAGGCCAGCTGCAAGTCTGAGGGCCACCCAGGCACCTACACTTCTGACCAACAGGCTACCAATTTAGGAGGTCCCTACGATCCCCCTCAGGTTTAATAATTCACTAGAACAACCCATAGAACTCAGGAAAGTGCTATACTTATGATTACCACTTTTTTAAATGTTTGTTTATTCATTTAGAGAGAGAGTAAGAGATCAAGCAGGGGGGAGCATCTGCGTGGCTCAGTCAGTTGAGTGTCCAGCTTCGGCTCAGATCATGATCTCATGGTCTATGGGTGCAAGCCCTGCGTCTGACTCTGTACCGACAGCTCAGAGCCTGGAGCCTGGTTCTGATTCTGTGTCTCCCTTTCTCTCTGCCCCTCCCCCACTCACACTCTGTCTCTCTCTGTGTCTCTCTCAAAAATAAATAAGCATTAAAAGAGAGAGGGAGAGAGAGAAAGAATCCCAAGCAAGCTCTGCATTGTCACCGCAGAGCCTGATGTGGGGCTTGAACTCACAAACTGTGAGATCATGACCTGAGCCAAAATCAAGAGTTGGACACTCAAGTATCTGAGCCACTCAGGCACCCCATAATTTTAGAATAAAGAATACACATATGAGGACCAGACGAAGAGATTCATGGAGCAAAGCCCAGAAGAACATGCAGAGCTTCCATGCTATCCCTCATGGAGTCAGGGCACATCACCCTCCTGG